GAGAAGTAAAGTGGGGCAAAATATCCAATTTCTCCCGTCGTGAGGGCCGTGAGCGTAGCTGGGCAAGGGCAATGGGCGTTCCGCGGGAGCCTCGACGGCCTTGCATGCATCACCTTGGGCTACGTCAACCCTTGCATCCAGATCGTGGACCTAGCGACCGGGGTGGCGCTCAAGGATTTACAGAAACCGGCTGCGGAAATTTCCAACACATGGAACACATGCTTCGGCTTCGGACGCACTGCCCAATCTGGTGTGTACAAGGTCCTCCGCCTCCGTACCTACAACCGAACTTGCGAGGTCCTCACTGTCGGAGATGGCGCCCAATGGAGGCAGACGCAACGGTGCCCAATGATGGCCCGTCTTCACTATGATTCTAATCCTGCGTCACGGTTAATAGCGCCTCACACTTGTTGTCCTATGATGAGAATTATGTGCTCTCCTTTGACCTCGAGAGCGAGGAATGGAACACGAGGAGCCATCAGGGACCTGAACACCAGAAGCATAGCCAAGCTCAATGCCACCTTGTGCATGGCTCAAATAGTGTCGCCTGTTATAACCATATGGCGCTTGACTGGCTCCAACACGAACATTTGGGTCAAAGTGTACACGATACCGATCAATTGGAAAGTTGTCAGTTATGCGGTGCCTTTGAGAGAGTTACATATGGGTGGGCTGCTCTTCTACTACCATGGAACCACTTCACAGTCACATCTACAATTATAGAGTTATTTACCCAAAACCACCACACTTGGGGTTAAGGTAACAACTTAGTATCAAATTTAAGCCAGGACACAAAAAACCATCAATTTCGTGCCTAACCTATAACAGAGAGCGCTGATTGTCTGATAAGCCCGTGAAAACAGTGAATCAAACAAGTCGACCCCACCTGTCAGGCTGACGTGGCAAAGACAAAAAATGTTGACAGTCTGATGTGGCAAATGAGAAACGGGCCCCACCTGTCAATGAGTAGAAGGTCTTCTTCTTCCTCACTCTTTTTATGTGGCATTCCATCGAACACCTTCTGGGCGACCGAAGAGCAGCGGCGTTCTTGCCCTTGTAGTCCACGGTCCACCTACCGCACGGAGGACACAGCCAAGGAGCTGAGCTCCGGCGACGGCAGCAACGCCTACATGCGCAGCCTCACCTCGGCATGGTGCTCCGGCCGCCGCCGCCCCGTTGGCGTGCGTGTGTGCGTGCTCTACACTAGCAGCTACAGTCAACGCATGCGTGCGTGCACCTGCACTACAGCAGTGGGAGGGGGGGAGGAGAGAGAACGACGGCGGCGTGCTCGGTGGCGAGCTCGCTATGGGTGCGGGCGACTTCGGGCCGTCGTCGTCGTCCCCATCGGCGGCGGATCCGCGGCCCATCCTCTATCCTGGCGCGAGAACGCCCACCACGCCAGCGCTCCATGGTTGCTCCACGCCTACCCTGCCGGTGCTCCATGGAGAGGCGGACGAGCAGCCGCTGTTCCCCATGACCCCCTGACACCACCTCCCGGAGCTTGGGCGCGTGGGCGCACGGTGGTGGACGGTGGCAGGATGGTGACCACGGCGAGGTTGCTCCGGCGGAGGGGGAAGGACCACCTCGACGGGCGCGGCCGACCTTGAAAGGCGTGACGTGCGCGGTAGCGCCGCCGCGGCCGCCGACTCTGGCCTGTACGAAGCTCCTCCATGACATCGCTGTTCTGCCCAGGAAGCAGCGGGCACGTCCAGAACCTGTTTGATGAAATGCCCATGCGAAAGTGGAGGTAGAAATAAAAAAGAAAAATGAGAAAAGGAGAGGTTGGGTCATTGACATGTGGGACCCATGTCCACCTCGGCGTATTTATCCACATAGGCATGCCACGTCAGTCTGATAGGTGGGCCCAACTTGTCAGTTTCGCTGTTTTCGTGAGCAAATCGGACAATCAGTGCTTTCCGTTACGGATTAGGCACATTTTCGGTGGTTTTTTGTGCCCTGGCTAAAATTTGGTATCAAGTTGTTACCCTAGCCCCAAGTGTGATGGTTTTGGGTAAATAACTCACAATTATATGATCCTCTTTTGGGGAGATGCACAGACGTGAAGACACCGACCAACCTCATCGGCAAAATCGGCCTTTGCGCTTCGAACTTTGGATCCTAGCTAAATTATGTGGCCAGTCTTGCTGAATCATCTTAATGTTCAGCGTTTGTTAGAACAAAGCATGCAATTGTATGATTATAAATCACAATTCATAAATGAACAATGGTCTGCTTGAGAACTCAAATATATATGAGTAATGTCAAAGTGATCTCTCTTTCATGGGTAAGCTATTACTAATTGTTTAGCTTTGATGGTCTAGGAAATCGGTTCACTATGTTCAAACCTATTTGTGCCGCAATAGCTTTGCCAAATGTCATGGTCAATTCATGTCTTCTTTGAGCACGGCTCACACCATTAATAGCTTATTGGGTTCTTTCAAATTATAGGCAGCGAAGAGTCGATGTCGCAGAGTATCATCCGACATCCATGGTTCATGCTCCTTTATCCTGAAAGCTTCTTGTCCTAACCAAGAGTTATGATGGTCCTAGCATATGCTCAGCCCCATAAAGAAGTGAATTAGGGGAGAAATTATACATAAGTTGCCTGAAATTTGTATTTCATTCAATTTCTTTAAGCTGAGGGAATGAATCAAAAATGTAATCACTCTTATTGTGTCTTGTGTGTAGTCTAGTGAGCAGGCATTTGCCGGTGCGTGCTTGCTCTAAATATACGTACTGGTCACCATATTTGAGTTAAATTACTGATATTACAGTCCACACATGTATGCAGAATTTATGTTGTGTTTTGATGATATTAAAAATTATAATCTCATGCTAATTCACTCAGCCAAGATAAGCTCGAGTCCAGCAGCTGACGTCCATGAGTTGTCGTCATCTCAATCTCCTTCGAACTCCACAACCCCCCACCCCCGTGCATGAAGAGCATTGTCACTAAACTTTAAATATAATGAAAATAAATTTATTTAAAGCTTCTAACACAAAGTGAAGTAGTGTCCCATGATTAATGTATTAAATCGTCCTCACATGCAAAACATAGGAGAAAATCCAATGAAAGAAAAACATCAATACATATAAATACACCAATAAATTAAAAATATAAACAAAGACAAATTTAGCTTCAAAGAAGAAATAAAATGAAAAATGGAAACTGAGAACAAATAATGACAAAAAATTGCACACAAATTGCATAAAACTTGCAATGTTCCACAACATGCAAGAACCATATAGTTGCGTAACTTTCAAACAACAACACGATTTACACAAATATTGCATATAACTTGCATGTACACGTTTATGTTTAACACTTGATGTTCAAACAAAAAATATAACAACATGAAAGCGACACATAAATAAAACACATACACAAAGGAAAAACTACAAAAGCACACACAAAAGCGGAAAAAAAAAAGACAGAGCAAAAACAAAAATCGACTAATTTTTCTTCAAAAACTAAAAATATGAAAACTAAAATGGTGGAGATTAAATCATCTCTAGACAAAAATGAATTGTGACTTGTATTAATAGTGTGGTCTTCCACATCTCTCTCGATCACACACGTGCGCATGTGCAAATGAACACACACGAGTTAACCGACACAAGGACATGAGTAAGAAAGCACACATGCACGGGCGAGCGAGCACACATATCACACATGGAAACACACATAGGCACGCACGAACATTGTTACATTTTTTTAGGCTAACGAATGCATGTTACATTACCATTCGGCATGAATGATTAGCTATATTAAAGAAAAACACGTTACATTTTTCTTTTAGACAAACGAACACATGTTATGTTTTTTTTTTTTTTAGAATCACGAACACATGTTATGTGCCTCTGCCTATTTGATCCCCCCGTTTTTGTTTTTTTGAGACAAACCCACCGTGTTTGTTAATTGGATCGAGTATCGCTTTTGAAGGTGGGCTGGTCAAGGCCCAAAGTATGGGGCAGAGAGCAACAGGTTAGAGGCAGGAAAAAATCGACTGAAGCTAAAAACTTTTTTCAGGCAATATACAAATACCAAAAGTGGTGAATTAGTAGTGGGTTTAAACCTGATAGGACTTGACTAAAGACGACGTGTCTTTGTAAACTAACTTAGGTATTCTTACCTCCAAGTCACGATGCTGAGCGTTGATTCTTTATTCAATGAAAATTGAGAGATTGCGTACTTAAAAAACTGTACAATTGAAACATATCTGTATTCGCTGGATATGATGATATGCAGAAACGATTTGGGGTTTGTGCTTGAAATGCAATCAATCAGTATGCAAGGGCCAAACAATCACATTGTGAGATAACAACCGAGGGATTGCCACAAAGTATGGTTAAAACAGTTTATACTTTAACACGAATACCAGTGATAGTTTCTGCGAAAATGATAATCCATAGTTGCATTGCAAGGCCTTTGTAACCTCAAAACAAGAAGGACGATATTTGTGCTAAACTGATATTCAAAGATCGTCCTTGACACTGATGTTCAGAAGTTTAGCCAGCTCCCCACTTTCATATGCATCAACAGTATCTGCATTTTCCCCATGAAAATAGAAGGGAGTCAGGATGGAACAAGAATTCACAGAAATCCTTGTTGTAACGGATCTATGTACCAGAACACTACGTACCATCAGAGCCTCCCAAGTGCTTTCCTCGGATAAAAACCTGAGGAACAGTACGCCTGCCAACCATGTCGGATAAGGCATCCTGGATTTCCCCACCATCCTCTGCATCACAACCAGAATAAATCTTTTCATTGAAAAAATTCCGTGAATCGTAAGCGATTTACGACATTTTCAGGATGTTGGTGTTTCCGGTCTACGAGCCAACTTGTGGAATATAGGGGACATAACAGCATAACATTGAAAGCAGCATCTTTTATAGATAGATAAACAAAGAGCATGATCACATATAGATAACTAGTGAGAATGGATGTACCTCGCTGATCAAGCTCGACGACATATGGGTCCTTCTTCAGTTCAAGCTCCTTAAACACAGCCTTCGCCCTTTTACAATACCTGCAAAAATTGAGTACTTAAACATACTATTTCTTCAGACAGTACGAAAACAATGAAATGTGGTAAGTTGCAGTAGTTGGGCTCTGCAACCATGGGCAGCGGCGGAGCCAGGAATGGAGTAGGTGTGGTGCTAAATTATGATAGGCAAAAAAATTCACCAAATATCAACCAACATACACCATAGTAGGAGCACATTACCACTGACACTAACATAAATCTCTAATCTCCAGACCAAACTCAGGTTTTCGAAGCCACAGATCGGCAACAATTTCATCAATATTCACTCGTGTTACAAACTTTTGCTAGTGCCTGGCATCTTTTGGGTATTATCTATCCACCCTATTCCTAGTAAATTATGAAATTACAAAAGACAAAACACAGTTTAATTAGAATTAAGCATGCATCCATCCAAAGATACACTAGTTTTCTAGTTTTCTAGTAACGGGGTTTCACGAGATGGAATAAACAAGGACAAATTTCCACACCACCCGGGTTGGCCTTTTCCGAATGGCTAAATTGGGGAACAGCTGGTTGGGGAGTTGATTGTATCAGTACCACTGGAGCACCAGCGGGAGTCGCTGCTGGCCTGCGGCCTGATGCCTGGGTTTATGGAGATTAGAAAAAGTTGAGAGGGGAAAGACAAGCGCGAGTCATAAATCTTTGGTGCTAGCACAAGGCATGCGTGGAGTCGAAGAGATGTACAGATCACTATATCATCGCTCCAGTCGGCCAGGTGGTGGTGCCCTGACGCGGCTGGTGCTGCACTTACACCTAATACGGTAATACGTACTCATTTACGCCATGGGCTGGACTGGTGCTACAGCCCGGGTAGCACCAGCCACAGCTCCGCCACTGACTATGGGCATCATCATCATAATTCATTGTGCTCATCATCTGACTACATCAGTGCCTTCCAGTTTCATATTACCTGACCATATCAGTGCCACCCCGCATAGCCATGTGCTCTTCACAAGTGTTCACGTTCAAGTATTTAACTTCACACAACCATTTAAGTTTAGCTTATTTCATTATACTTGCAAGAGTTCTGGTGAGCTAATCAGACTCGAGTTTGTACCGAACAAACTCAAAATGGTAACCTAATAAAGCATTCTAAAAGGAAAGTAGGGATCCAGATTCTCCTACATGATCTATGGCATGAAACCAGAGGCTCGCTAAAATGACTAAACCAGAACAAACAGAACTTTTTCTGTTTCGGATAAAACAAGCAGTGTAGAAAAGTACTGCTACTTTCTCTCATCATCTAGTGTATCAAGAATTTTGAGAAAATAAAAACTTATAGAACACCAACGGCAGATAATATCTCCCTGTTCAGTTCAGTACGAACAAGGCAACAACAAATAGCTGTTGCCTAAATCTTCATAAAGTTCAAATTCCGGTTTACCGTGTTCAAGAATTTTGAAGCAGATAGAGCCATGGTATGATTTAGAAAAAAAATTCATGGGCTTTTCACTCAATGACAATGTAAATTC